ATTATTTGTTGTTAATAAAAGTTAAGTATAAAATAAACAAAAAAACTTTTCTTTTTATATAAATGTAGTTTGAGCAGTATGGTTGCTTAGCTCTCGCTGCTACGTACAATTTTGTTTGCACAAATGTTTTGTGAATTTTTGAATTTGATATGTGTTTTTGTTAGAATACTTAATCTATATATAAAATATAGTGTATTTATTTATCAGTTTATATTTCAGTAAAAAGAGGTCCCAGGTATGCAAAAAAATTGATTTTTTTCGATTTCGGCGACAAGTTTAATACGGCCGATATATAAGAAACGTTATAAATTTTAACCGGTTAAAACCGGTTTAAACTTAAACCGGTTTTTTTCGAAAATGACTAAATATTGCCCTTTATTGTTCTTGCCCTGAATATTGTTCTTTTATTCAAGTACTCTTTTAGTAGAGTAATATAATAATATGATACATATTTAACATAACTTTAACATATATAAATCTTTTCAAAATCAGTGTTCGCAAATCCGCTCCCTTGTTAATCTTTTCTTTTTTTGTTGTAAGATTACATGTATCACAAAATCCTTTTACAATGAATATTACTTTAATATCCTAAGTCGACTTAATAAATAAGACATGTATATAATATATTAATTATTACTTTATAATAACTTTAAGGAACTTTAAGGAGCTACAAAAGTTTAATAAATTTATTGTTCTTAAAATTTGAATATTGTCATAAATAGTAATGAATTAATTATATGTATAACAGATTTCTAAATCTAACAAAAACCTTTAACTGTCTTTTCTTTTATTTAATAATTTACAATGTTTAATAATATTAAAAAAAATTTATTTACAACATTAAATATTATAATAAAATTATCTAATTTGATAACTCCATACACTTTATTTATATAAATATATTTTTTATATTACAACTTTATACATATAAATATTTTAATAAGTAAACGTCTTTATGACTATGCAAAAATAACTTTATACCAAATTGAAAATTCCATACGCAAATAATCGCAAATAGACAAACTGCTTATCTATTCTTACTCGCCTGCTAAATTATTTGTATAAATATAGATGAAAAAATGAAAAACATTGCAAAACATTAATAAAGCAAAACTGCTTTAATATAATTGTCAGATTTAGCTCAGAATAATTTCTAATTTTTAATAAAAGTAATGCTAATAACGTTTGCAATTAATTCGATATTGTCATCGATCATATATGGGAGACCAGGGATTTATAAAGCATATTAATGACGTTATATGTTTATAAAAAGATACTATATAAAATATATATATATACAATATATATAAATATATAAATATTATTAATGTTTTTTGACTATTATAGATACCTTGATGTATTAAAAAAACATTCTATTTATAAAAAAATATTTATTTAAATATACGATTAGAATATATGATAAGATATTTACTCGTTAGTTTCCTTTCTAAAAAAGACATGACATCGATACTCGCATCTCTCGAAGTTATTGTTGCCGCTTTTCCGCGATGCCGCGATTGGTTCTCTCGCTGCGCTAACTTCGTAAATAGCTGTCATTGTATTGATCTCACAGAGGATCGAATTTTGACAATTGTGTACCAAGAAGTTAAAAATTATTATAGTGTAACAGTAGTATAATAATATTATGTTAATTTTTGCTCTTGTGTTGAAAAAGATAAATAGCGCGCGCGTAGCGCACGTTTGTAATGTCTATTTTACATAAATATTATTTTGTAAATATTTTAATTATTCTGTGCAAGAATAATAGGTCAAAGTTTGCATACTCAATGATCGTAATTATCCGCTGATCTATCTTGTTTGTCTGCAAAATTATTCGTATGAATTGGATAAAAAGTTCCTGATTCCCGTTTATCCACTTCGTTTAAAATTTGTTTCCATCATTAAAATATGTTGATATATGTTGATATTTAAAGGAAATATTGATTTTTTTAGAACATAAAGATGAATGTATTAAAGATAAAAGAAGTAATGTTGTGTATAATTATTACAACTTTTTATATACTCATATTATAGAACTCATTCGACCGTCATTGTGTGGCTCCGTTTTCGATTAAGATGAAGATAAGCGCGTCTAGACGCATTTATTACGACTATTTATATGAATATTTATATGAATATTTAAATAAATATCTTCATATACGGATTGTTTCATAATAAATTCGTAAGTAAGTTGAAACGTAATTGAAACGTTTATACCATATCGTACATTTGTTTCATATAGACTTTTTTCACTGATTATAACATATAACTTGAGATTTATTTTTTATTACACTGACATAACTCGATTAATTAAACGCGCGCCTGTTATGTTCTGGTATATTAAAAATATAATTTTAGTTAATTGTAACATTTCAAATGTAAACAACTATTGCAAAAAAATTAAAAATTTGGAAATATGAAAACAGCAATCACAAATAATAAAACGCAAAAACTAAAAATAAAAAAGCTAAAAGTTGAAAAATTAAAACAAAATGATAAAAAATACAATGGTAAAAAAATTAGAAAAATTAGAACCAAATGATAAAACAAAAAAACAAATACTTAAAAACAAATGCTAATACTTAAAAGAGATAATTTAAAAAAAAGACATGCTCCCGACTACTAATTAAGTAAATAGGCTAGATCTAATGCAGATTGTAAAATATTTCTTTATAATAATAATTAAAATTAATATGTATAATAAAATTAGTATGTATAAAGATGTTTAAAAAATATAAAATAAAAACTTGAAAAATTAAAAGTAAATAAAGTTTGAATAAAAACTTGAAAACTTGAAAAATAAAAATTAAAAGAGCGAAAAGCGCATATAATGAAAAAACTAAAAATTAAAACTAAAAACTAAATGGCAAAAACAATAAAATAAAAAAAAGATAAATTTAAAAAGTTTAAAATAATAAAGTTTATAAAGCTGAAAAAATCACAAACAATAAAAAAAATGGAAATTTGAAAATTCTTAGTTTAAAAAATAAGAGTTAAATACTAAAAACTAAATAATAATAAAAGTCTTATTTACATTAAGTAATAAAA